ACCAAAAAGTTCTTCTCCACCACCAATAAACAATGTTACTGCTCATTCTGCTCATCAAACTAGGGAATTTTGTGACAGTTTCATTGGAAAAATCACCAGCCATTCACCTTACAGGTGAATGATTTGGGTCATTTTGACTCGTTTTTTTTTTGTTTCCTAATCTTAAGAAATTTAGTTTTTTCAGCTATAATTTAAACAGAGATGATATTGACATGGTTAAATCCCAAGGACTCTCAGTTTTTTAGGACTGTACTAAATGGCTGATATCATTGCTTAGAAAAGTGTATTGAATGTAATGAAACTTATGTTAAGAAATGAAGTTTATGCTTTTAATCTTTACCTTTAAATTCAATTTTTTTCATGAATTTTTTGAAATCCCCTCATTTAAATGTCTATATTACATTTGTGATATTGTACTATATTTATGCAAAATATCACCACTGGGAACTGGGTAAAAGTGCATGGGATCTCTGTATTATTTCTTACAGTCTACAATGATCTCAAAAAACAAACTTTAAGAAAACAAAATTTATCATTTAAAGAAAAATAGTAACAAGGCAGTGTATAATTTCTGATCCTGTGTAAAAGTAAAATGTAAAAAAACTGCCCCATAAAGGTTGTCAGAAAGATAGATGTATAGTAGTGTAAGTTTCTTATGTTATAAATGAACTTTTATAATATTACTTAAAGTAGACGGTGGTAATTTAAAGATGCATACTATAAACACTAAAACAACCACTATAGTAACACAACAAAGAGCTATAGCTAATAAGCTAAGAAGATACAATGGAATCATAAAAATGTTTAATCTAGATAGCCTGGGGAGAAATGCCAAATGTGGGTGAAGAGGAGAAGGAAAGAAAAGCACACTGCCATGTGTGTTCCTACACAACTGTCTTACATGCTCTGCTCATGTACCCCAAAACCTAAAATCCAATAAAAATTAAAAAAATGTTTAATCTAAAAGTGGGCAAGAAGAAAGAGAAAAAACGGGGCAAAGGAAATATGGGAACGATAGACAAGGAGGTGATAGATTGAAACCTGGTCATGTCAAGAATCATTTTAGCAGAGATTGTCAGATTGCATTAAAAAGGTAAGATCAATCTATATTCCAACTACAGTAAACTCACTTTAAATAAACTCACCTTAAAGACACACATAGGTTAAAAGCAAAAGCATGAAAAAATATAAAAGGCTAACACTAATTTCAAAAAACCTGAGTGTCTGCGTTAACATCAAAGTATATTTTAGAGCAAAGAATCTTAACAAGGATGAAGAAAGACATTTTATACTAGCAAAGGAGTAAACTCATCAAGACAAAACAACAATTGGAAACTTTCGTGCCACTAATAACACAGTGTCGAAATATATAAAGAAGCACCCGAGGGCCGGGCGCGGTGGCTCAAGTCTGTAATCCCAGCACTTTGGGAGGCCAAGGCGGGTGGATCACGAGGTCAAGAGATCGAGACCATCCTGGTCAACTTGGTGAAACCCCGTCTCTACTAAAAATACAAAAAATTAGCTGGGCATGGTGGCGCGTGCCTGTAATCCCAGCTACTCGGGAGGCTGAGGCGGGAGAATTGCTTGAACCCAGGAGGCGGAGGTTGCGGTGAGCCGAGATTGCACCATTGCACTCCAGCCTGGGTAACAAGAGGGAAACTCTGTCTCAAGAAAAAAAGAAGCACCTGATAGAATGGCTAAAGATAAAAACAATTCATACTTATAGTTGAAGATTTCAACACCCCTCTTTCTATAGTTGATAGAAGAGGCAGGAAGAAAAATCAATAAGGATATAGAAGATTTTAAGAACACATAGAGATGGCAGAGGCAGGATTCAAACTTAGGTCGTGTAGTTCCAGAACCCTTGCTCTTAGTCTTTAGACATGCTGATCTGCATGTTGTGGCCATCAGGATATTTTGCTGTGCCAGTGATTACCCATTTAAATGGATAAATGAATTCACTAATTACTGAGTATTAGCCTTCAATGACTTTCAAATATCATTTTTTTTTCTTTATTAGGTAGAAGGCTCGAAGGAAATGTCATTTATGTGGGAGCTTGAAGGAATCCTGCAACAGGCATTGAAGTTGATTTAGTTTCAGGATTTGTCAGTCTCTGGATGAATTATTTTCTTGAATCAAACACTCTAACCTCAAAAGAGCACCTCACAGTAGTTCACAAAACATGTAGAGCTGGTCTTATGCAGCCTAAGTAGGAAGTTGCCTGTGCCCTACCTGTCGGCCAGCATACTCAGAGAAGACCCCTCTGCATCTGATCTCGCCTTTTGCTTCATCTCTTTGTGCTTCCAAGAATTTTCATCTTTCAAAGTGCAGATGTCTTTCAATTGCATTAATGTGTTTGGGCTCAGAACCACATGGTCTAATACAATGAACACTGCACTAGAAGTTCAAATCTCAAATCTGAAGCTCACTAGCCCTAGTCATTTAATGACTATGATCCTCAGCGTCATCCCCTTCCAATTGGTCATTGTGAAAATTGAGATTATGTTTCCTACTCAATACCACTCAGTGTGGACACTCATTTGGCCCTTACCATCGTTAGCTTCCTTCTTTCCTAATGAACAAAAAAATAGCAAAAAGAAGACTCAAAACCAGCACACACAGAGGGAATGAAAGGGCTGGCAGTCCATGGGAAAGAGTCAATTTTCTTCATGCAAATGTCTTTTGGGGAGGAACATCCTTGCACAGAAGTCCAGAGATAAATCAATATAAATTATCCAGATTGTAAACTTCTTTGCATATCAGTTTCCTTTTTATGCTGAAATCTACCCTACATCAATAAAATGAGCTGAATTAATTTTAAAAGATGATACAGAAAAGTTGTTCTAAATTATCATCTTCCAGCATATTGCAGAATTTACTCCACCTGAATTGTGGATATTTGGTCTTGGAACAGAAGATCAGCAAAATGGAATTGGTAATACTTACCTTTGAAAGCTGCTGAAGAGTTAATTCACTAAGCAACAACTTAAAAATAACACCTGAGTTATCTCGGAACCATTTTTCTAATGAGGCTGGTGGAACTACTGAAGCAATGTTCTTAGAAGCTATTTCAGTCCTTCATCCCCCAGAGATTATTCAAGGAGAATATAATTTTATGTGATGAAATGAGAACTGGAGGAGAATATAAGTGTTAAGTGACTGAATCAAATCAAGTATTTGCTAAATGTTGCCTAAATGGGTTGATGGACAAAAATAATAATAATAATAATGATGCCATGAGTTTCCACATAGCCTTTCAGGAATGGAGGTCTTGACTAAGTCAGAGATCTGCAAATTTGTGGGGACCACATTTTTAATTTAAGCAGTGCTAGATAAATAATGGCTCTTAGAGGAACTATTGATTAACATTTCATGATTTGATCATTATTTATTTTTAACCTCTCTATGCTGCAGTGTCTTGATCTCACAATGGGAACAAAAATAGTATCTACCTCAAAGGTGAAGATTGAATAAAAAATTAATTAAGATCTCTTTTAAAGTGGCACCTGGCATGCAGTAAGCGCCTGAGTAAATTAGTGATTCCCAATCTTATTAATTACTTTCTTCCAGCAAACCTATAGCACATACTCTGTACTGGGCATTGTGGTAAGACCTAGTATATCAGTCAGGTTCATAGTTGCAAACAGCAGAACCTACTGTAGCTAATTTAGGCAGGAAAGGAATTTTTCAAAGAATATTTGCTAGCTAACAGAATCTCTGGCAGGCCAGCTCTTGGCCAATATTGGTAGTCACAGTGCCAGTTTCTACTGCAGGACTGCTCTAATGAACCTTCTGTGGCAACCATGGTAAAGAAGCTCCCTAGTCTGCGGTCATTGCTGAACATCAGATATCCATCTTATTGGAAATGGATTTGGCATAGTTCCCTGCTTTGGGACATAATATATGAAGATAAAACTCCCATGAGTTCATCTGACTGGGGGAGAACAGGTCATATGCCTAGCTATTCTAGCTGCAAGGGAATCTGGTAAAGTGAGTTTTAGGACTTTAACTTGGGTTAAGATTCCTTGAAAGCCATGACAAATGTTGATTAGACCGAGCCTCTGCCTTGGAAGAGCACAGTCTAGTGATGAGACAGGGGTATAAATAAATTGTTGTAACATTGGGAGTAGGGAGATTTGTATTATTATCCAGCACATATCTGCTCTCACTCCTCCACAAAGAGGGGAGCCTGCTTGATTTTAGACTTGGTGATCTGATCCGCTTTAGTCTACGCAATTGTGGGTGAAAAGGCTGGTTTGGCAGCTCCAAGGAGAGGTGTTAACAGGTATTTCACGTGCTCTCCAGATTTTCTCTCAGATTTCTGCCTTCCACCATGAGAACTTCACATTTGTGATTGCAGGTGGAAAGTAAAGATTCTCTTTCAGCCTTGACACTTAAAGCGAGAAAACTTATGAGTCAGACCCCACCTCAACCACGGGTTGGCAGGGCTACAGCATCAAACCCACAGGTGCAACATGAATGAGAAGTAGTTATCTGTAGTTGGTACACCTTTAAGCTCTGGCGATTGTTTGTGATCAAGCATTATTAAAGACAATGCTGACTTATACAAGAAGATAAAGGCACTTACAGGTATATATACCAAATTTTAGAGGAAACTTAGAGGAGGTGACAATTAACTGAAAACCCTTAGGAAGGCATTACAAAGGAAGAGACCTTTAGAAAGAGTTTTGTAGGCATTTAGGATTTCTCCAGATAGAAAAGCTAGGGGAAGGTAATTTCAGGATGACATATGCATATGCAAAGAGAATTAAAGTGGTCAGACATGTTTTCGGAAATGCAATGCGTTAATCCCAGCATATCCCAAATGGCAATGATTTAAGTGTCTTGTGTTGTCTTTTCAAAGCAGCAATACAATTTTACGTATCATCTTATTTGAATCAATTTACCTTCTTGCTCTGCTGCCAACCTTAATATCATTCTAGACAAAAATATTTGTAAAATCTCAAGGCTGATAGCTTAACCATTTTTCTAATACATATTAAAATACATAATCATTATAAGTGTAAAAAATAGTTTTCTATGCACCACGGACTTCATGTGCCCTGTGTTGTTTCTGACACTGCTAGTAGACTGTGAAATGTTCCTTCTTCCCTGCTTTATATTAATAGAAATACATTTTGTTCGAGGAAGCACTGTGCCCAATTTATAAATGCTCACTTCTCCAAACTCCTTTGCAGACATCCCTTGGGTCGCCTGTGTGACCGAATTCTGGCCAATAAATCTATGTTTACTGGATGGTACTTTGGGTAAGGCTGTTGTTTTCCTTATGAAAAAGATAGATTTAACTGGCAGGTGCCTTTTGCATTTTCATCATCCTATCCCTCTCTCCCTTTTCCTCTTTTCTGGAGCATGGATTCAGTGCCTGGAAGTGTGGCAGCCACCTCCAGCCTGTGAGGATGAAGAGGAATATGCTGAGTGGCAGAGCAGAAAGCTGGACGAAGCCTGGTCCCTGTGGCCTTTTTTTTGCAGGTACTGTAGCCCTGCCTCCAGTTAAGCCATTATATATAAGGGTGCATTACATGCAGCCTAGCACAATCTTACCTGATACATATGATTTAGCAAACCCTAGGCTAGTATATAGCGTTCAAATCTGAGAGGCCAGAAGATAATACTGGGAAGACTGTCAAGAACCACATCCCAAAGATGCTTGCAGAGCAGACAAAACAGGTTTTTTTCTTTGTTTGTTTGTCTGTTGGCAGACAATAGAGTGAAACAATTTGGAAACCAGGGCTTTGTAAATAACCTGGACTATTTAGTTCGTCTCCCATCCATTATCATGTAACTCATATGGGAGTCAGAAGCTCTTATTATTTCTGGACCTAATTACATTAAATACAAGGTGGGAAAATCACAGAAAGTCTAGACTTCAGTTTGTTCAACTGAAAAATGCCATAGATCCTTATATTCATTTCCTGGGGCTTTCAAAGTAACACCACCTGTGTGGCTTAAACAGGGGAAGAGTATTGTCCCACAGTTACAGAGGCCGGAACTCCAAAATCAAGATACTGGTTTCAAAGCAGGTTGGAGTCTTCTGAGGGCTCTGAGGAGGGATCTGTTCCAGGCCTCTGTGAGCTTCTGGTAGCCGCAGGCATTCCTTGGCTCTGTCTTCACATCATCTTTCCTCTGTATGTGCCTGGTTGTGGCTCTGTGCCCAAACTCCTTTTCATAATGATTTAGTCATATTGAATTAGGACCCACCCTAATGACCCTCATTGTAATGCATTCATCCGCAGAAGTCCTGTGACATAGTAAGAAACATAGATTCTAGCCTGCCCTTGTGTTTTGACACAGAGGTCCTAAAATTCTTGTAATTTCCTGAGTGATAGGAGTGACAGGAGCATCTTTGTTATATTTGGTCTTGGAGCTGTAGACGGAAAATCAAATCCTAAGCCCATCCAGCAAATGAATGGACCCCCTGTTGGACAATGGGACCCCAGAGAAACCTTGAAAACTGAGTTTTTGGCCATGATGGGATTGGGAGATCAGCCACTCCTTGTTACAGTTTTTTCCTTTTGCAAGGTAGGCACAAGTGAACAGCATTAATGTTAAAATAGAGACCATAAGACCAGTAGAACCAACTCTGTGGCACTAAGATATCAAATTATAAATAAGACCTATGGCCATGCCAGACAAGGGTTAAGTCATGACCCAGAGCAGTGGCTCGTGCCTATAATCCCAGCACTTTGGGAGGACAAGTGGGTGGACCACTGAAGCCCAAGAGTTATAGACCAGCCTGGGCAATATGGCAAAATCTCATCTCTACAAAACACACACACACACACACACACACACACACACACACACACACACACACAAATGAGCCAGATGTGGTGGTGTGTGCTTGGGGTCCCACCTACTCAGGAGGCTGAGGTAGGAAGATTGCTTAAGCCCAGGAGGTTGAGGCTGCAGTGAGCCATGATTGTGCCACCACACTCCAGGTTGGGTGACAGAGTGAGGCTTTTTCTCAAAGGAAAAAAGTCATGCACCTCTATACTCAAAGAATAAACTATGTTCTAATTGCCACAAGGTTTTCTTTTTCTCTAGCTGTGAAACAAACACTGGCTTCAAGACAAGCGATATTAAAACAAGTTGTAGCTCGCCATGAGATGCTGCCTGACTCTACTGTTCCGAAAACCATAACTACAGCTTTGATTAGACAAGAGACCGATTTCAATCACTTTCTTCTGGTAAGAAGACCACTGACCAAGACCTGATTGTGGCCAATTTACAGAGGCTGAGAACAGAAGTGCTGTCACTTCCTGAAAACCCCTCTTGACTTATACGGCCTAACTGCCATATATTTAAATGTTAAGTCTCCACCCCAAAGTGAACACAGGTTGTATGTAACATGCATGTTTGTTCAATACTCTTGCCTCAGGGCCACCTTCATGAATAGTCACAGCTCCTCCCGTTGCCCATTGAGTATGTGTGTTTAGCACCTGTTCAGCTAAATCTCTAACCTCAACCTTCTCCTTCAACGCCTGCCTCTGCCTTTTGCTTGAAGCACACTTCCCAGCTGGTGGGATGGCCACCTCACAGGCTATAACCCTTTACAAGAAATAAATCTCCTTTTCCAAATGTAAAAATTGTGTGATTTTTTTAAGTTAACAGCCCTAAAGGAAGGGGTTCAGAGAGCATCTGGGTTGGTGAACACATCTCCATGCCAGCAGGGTGGCTCACCCAAAACTCCACGGGGACAGAAGCCCTGTGCTTGGAACCCTTCAGAACCCTGCCCTATGTACCTCTTCATCTAACAGTAATTTGTCATTCTTTATAATTTCCTTCATAATAAACCGGTAATAGGAAGCAAAGTGTTTCTCTGAATTGTGTGAGCTGTTATAGCAAATGGTCATACCTAAGGTGGAGGGGTCCTGGGAGCCCCTGATTTGCAGCCAAGTCATACAGAAGTAAACCAGGAGCTCACTACTTGCAATTAGTGTCTAAAGTGAGGAGCAGTCTTGTGGGACAGAGCCCTTAACCTGTGAGGTCTGGATTGACTCTAGGTAGTTGGTGTCAGAGTGGAATTAAATTGCAGGGCACCCAGTTGGTGTCTGCATAGAATTAGAGAATTTCTTGAAGTGAAAACCACACAGATTTTTGTGTCTGAAGTGCTGTGAATGGAGAAACAGTTTTCCTTTAGCTCTATTTCGAAATAAAGTCACACTCATACCCAAAGGACTATAAATCATTCTACTACAAGGACACATGCACACGAATGTTTATTGCAGCACTGTTTACAATAGCAAAGACCTGGAATCAACCCAAATGCCCATTGATGATAGACTGGATTGGGAAAATGTGGCACATATACACCATGGAATATTATGCAGCAATCAGAAATGATGAGTTCATGTCGTTTGTAGGGACATGGATGAATCTGGAGAACATCATTCTCAGCAAACTGACACAAGAACAGAAAATGAAACACCGCATATTCTCACTCATAGGCAGGTGATGAAAAATGAGAACACATAGACACAGAAAGGGGAGTACTAAACACTGGGGTCTATTGGGGGGAAAAGGGGAGGGCCAGTGGGAGGAGGAGGTGGGGAGGGATAGCCTGGGGAGAAACGCCAAATGTGGGTGAAGGGGTGAAAGCAAACAGAACACACTGCCATGTGTGTACCTATGCAACTGTATTGCATGCTCTGCACATGTACCCCAAAACCTAAAATGCAATAAAAAAATAAGAAAAAAGAAAAAAAAAGTCACACTCACACGGTACTGGGGGTTAGAACTGGAACACCTTTTTGGAGGACACCGTTGAACCCACAGCAATGGCCATCTCTCAGAGCCGTGAATATCACATGGCATGCATTGGGAAGGGTTGGAAAACAAGACACTGTGGGAGGATGAAGAACTGCACATCATGTGTGCTATGTGTGCCGGTGTGTTGATGGAAGAGAACACAACAGCCTGAAGAAGTAGAATGGTGAAAGAGGGGCACTGGATTCTGATTCTGTCATGGACACTGTCACCAGTGGCGACTGGGCAGCCACTTTCTTGCTTTGGTCTCCATGAAAGTATAATAATCTCAACTAGCTTCTGTCTGCCTAGCTTTTTGAGATTGTTGGATGTTCTGAGCCAGCCATTTGAACTTTCACAGAAACTTTCCTTCCCCAGGGATTTCTGACGTTAGGCCTGACCTTAGCCTGGTGGGCTGTTGTTGAGGTCTGAGTATCAAAACGTACAATGGTGGTAATGAAAGTAACAAGCTCATAATAATAAAGCCAATTGGACCACTTTTAGAAAGATCTAAGATATTGTTTGTCTAGCTGACGAAAGGATTAGCTTGAGCAGAGAAGGTTTCTGTGGAGCAAAGCAGTTGATTAACTTGGATGCTAGAGAATTCTCTGTAGCGTGAACTCTGTTTGTTGTGGGAAAAACCTTGAGTAAATAAGTCGTGAAAATGTAGGACAAGCAATTTTATTTATTATTCCTAGAAAAGGCGTCCTATTTCTTGTTCAGGTTCTTTAATTGCTTTATTAGGAAGATTGTTTCTTGAGAGTGAAATATTTTAAATATTGCCTGGATTTAAAATTGGTTAAGGAGGTCAGCACTGCCTGACCCAGCTTAAATTTCCAAAGGGCCAATCACAAGTATATTACACATAGACTCAGCTGGCTGCAAGAAGGAGATTTTATTTTCAAGATGACAGTTTCATTTCAGTTCATTTCACCCACACTTGGAAGGGGAGAGAGCTTCCTATGAAATTAACTGAGCACCATTTCTAATTTCATCTTTGCTTTTCTAATTAAGGATTCAGGTTTGTGGCTGCCTTTCCAGCCAGCTTCGTGTTGAACTGGCAGACTCAGCTGTTTAGAAATAGGACTTGAGCTTTGAAGTTCAATATTCCTTGGTCCATGTCCAGATTCTGCTGCTTACAAGTGCTGTGACTTTGGGTTCTTAATGTCTGGATTCAACCGTAAGATCAGAAAAATAATTGCATAAAATAGCAAGTTCTAATTGACCTGTGGAGTAAGGTGCCCAATAAATTTGTAGTTTTTATCCTTCCCACTATGAAAACTTCCTCCTAGGATTCTGTTGTTTGAGATAAAACTTGAACCTGCTAGGTTTAGCCATTTAGCTATGCATCTATCTATGTATCTATCAATCTATTATGTATGTATGTATGTATGTATCTATTATCTATCTCTATCCTTCCTTCCATCCATCCATTCGTATTTTGATCGTTCCATCTTCCATTTCTCTATCACCCAAACTTATTCTTCCTGTATTCTATTCCATTAGAGGCTCTTTATATATCTGAAACTTACCTAATAAACTACTTCATGGGAATGTTTAAAGGCTTAGAGAATAGAACATTTTAAAGCTAGAAAGAGCTTTAGAATTTTAGTCCAAATCTCTTAATTTACTTATGAAGAGGGTGAGTAATTTTGGCAATGATTCATGGTTTAGTGGGAATACCATACTAATTTGTGTAGGTTCCATAGACCTCAAATTCAGTGAATCTAAACAGATGAAACATTTTCCCTTGCTTGTATTTTACGATGAGGAAGGATGATGGTGATTATGATGATGGTGATGATTATGTTGATGATAACAAAAGGTTTTGTTTTTAGTCTTTATCTTGTGCCCAGTACTATACTCATGTGGTGCCTCATTTTATCCTCCAAAAATCCTCTTTGAGGCATATATTGTAATTTTATAGATGAGGAAACTGAGATTTAGAGAGATTATGTAATTCACCTAAGGAAACACAGCTGGGAAGTGGAGGAGAGAAGATTTGAACATTCCTTTGAATTTTAAAATTCAAATTCAAGCTTTTAATCTCTACCCTCTTCTGCTGGCATAATCCATAATCAGTCCAGAAAGTGTTGGTGCTGGTGGTGGTGATGATGATGATGACAATGACATCACTGAATGTTTATGGAGAATTTACTGTGTGCTAAGCATGCAGTAAATTAATACACGTGATCATGCATTAACACACTTAATCATCACACGAACCCAATAAGATCAGCACCTCTATTGTCCCCATTTTTAAAACATGGATATGGAGGCAGAGAGAGGAGGTTAAAAATCTTGCCCCACAGCTAGAGATGGTAGATTTGAATTACAGCCCAGATACTGTGTTTTCAGTTCTTACTCCAAATCACTGCTCAGGCCAGTTGGTTTTGCAAACGCAAGGAGTGTGGCAGACTAGGGTATGGAGTGGGCAGCAAGGTTGTCTACACTTCAGGTCACACACAGGAATGAAATCACCAAAAGCCAGAATGCCTCTTCTCCCCCAAGGGATCACGACCCCTCACCAGCAAGGGAACAAAACTGGATGGACAATGAGTGCATGTATCCAGCTAATGAAATTATGTACACAAAGATATTGTGTAAAGTCTAAATCATTATTGTGGTTACCATTACCCATTCTCAGCCTTGCCTAGGACATGGCCAACAACAGCTCTGTTTTACCAGTGAGGTCTGAGTCAGGAAGACTTAGTGCCTATCTCTGGAATGAGAATCCCATCCTCTGAGAGCTCATAACTGGAATAGTTTGGAACCAGGTCAATCTCTGTGCCCCAAGTGTCCACAGAGAGCCAGGGAGATAATGTGATTGGCTGAAGCTTAAATTATAAGAATAGTCTTGGTTTCTTGCAAAAACAATATGGCAACTTACGATATTTTTGATACACAATCAGTTATTTTTAAAGTTTTTCGGTGTTTCAAAGGAAAGATATTGGAATAATCACTTTCTTTGTAGTTGTACCAGAAATAGAGTGGCAAATAACAACCCATTTGCTCTCTAGTCTCAGAACTGGGCAAGGGTGGGATCTGGTGTAAAAGGGTGAGCTCTGGACACATCAGAGGAGTCAACTACTATTCAGCAATTAGTACAGACTGTATTGATCAGGATCTATTGGGAAAACTGAAACACATCAATCATTTCAGAGTGGAGAATTATTACAAGGAATAATTAAACAGATTGACGGACTGAAAAACCTAAGGAGCACGCTAAGATAACACTCAGCTGGTGACTGCAGAGTGCTGCTACACTGCTAGTGGCTGGAGCAACAAGGAAGAGAGAATGTGTCTAGTGCTGCCAATTCCGATACAGAGGCCACCAGCCCTATGTGGCTATCGAGAACCTGAAAAGCAGCCAGCCTGAATAGGCAAGCGCTGCTGTAAACGTGAAATGCACACTGGATTTCAAAGACCTACTATGTAAAAAAGCAATGTAAAATATTCCATTAAAAGCTTTAAATATTAATTACATGTTGGAATAATAACATTTTGGAAGAGTTGAATTAAGTAAAATTTGTCATTAGAATTAATTTGCCCTGTTTCTTTGTACCTTTTGTAAAATGGCAACTAGAAAATTTAAAACTACATATGACTTTCATTTGTGACTCTCATTGTACTTCTTTGGACAGCTCTAACTTAAAAAGCTTGGAGCAAAGGCCCCAGGTTGCTGATACCTAGATCTCCAAGGAGGTGAGTGGGTTGGCTGGTGCTTGAATCTCAGTGAGTGGGAGTCACTAAGCTAATTTGGGGACATGGAAAAACCACAAATGAGAATCACTACTCTATCAGGG